TATAATGTATCTATAGTAATAAGCAGTATCAATCTAAATGGTAGTAGCATAACAGTTTATATACGTATATATGAAAAATATAATTATTAGAATTCAGTAGTGCATCATATATACATTATAAGGTGTGCTTGTCAATATGCTGTGTATGGTACAGCAGGAAGCAGCTGTTATTATTTTTCATAGATTGTGTGTGATTGCGGACATGGCTATGGTGTGTGGATGTACTGTGTGAATGTATCATGCAGGCTGAACCTATTTGGGTCTAGTGAACCATGTCTTCACATGAGATTGGTCTGTCATGTTGCATCACAACAGAGCACATTCGTTTCCTCCATGATGAATTATAAGTGTTTGTTTTTGATAGATTATATGTATTTGGTGTCATAAATTGGTTCACATAGCCAAAGGGCAGAAATATCTGATAAACTGAAATGACATTCAAAATAGATCAGTTTTCATCACCAGAGACTTTATCTCATTACTGTGCCTTCTAGAAAGGGAATGTGTAGTCTCTTCAGTGTTTTAGATAAACATGTAAAAGAGATCCTGTTGATGCAAATCTTATCAGTACATGTAAATGTTTAAAAAAAGATTTTTTAAAGTATAATTTGTAATTATTTTTGTGTACAGGGGATCTATTCTGACACGGCTCCGTGTCAGAATAAGAAAAAAAAAAGAAAAAGCAGTGTTTATCTCCTTAGCGCCCGGAGCGCCCGAGTGAGTTAGGCTTTTTTTTCTTCTTTTTTTTGACGGCAACAGAACCGCTGGCCAATAGAAAACTGTTAGCGGAGCTAGCTGTCATTGCTAGCTCAGCACAATCGTTTTCTATTTTTCTACTTTTTTAACTGTTTTTCTGTTCTGCTCGGACCCACAGAGAGACCGAGCAGAACAGTCGAGCCGAATGCCGCTCGGCGGCATTTGGTTATTCACTCACTGCTTTTCGACATCTATGAGAATAGACCGAACAGCAGTGAGTAGCCTGCAGGAGGTTAGGCTGAGCTGATCCTGATGTTGGATCGGCTGAGTCGAACTCCTTCTGCACTTCGGGTCGGCCGAACATGCTGAGCATGTTCGGCCGACCCGAAGCAACGCAAAGCCACCCGATCACTTCGCTTTAGGTCCGTCATTCACTCGGCTGCCTGTGGCAGCTTAGTGAATAGATCCCATAGTGTCTCCTTAAATATGCAGACTCCACTTCCTGTCCCTCTGTGGCTGAGATCCTTATGTCAACAACTGCTAACAAGTGAGTTAACACAGTGACTTTCACACAGGCGGTCCAATCAGGTCTGCTTGTCAATTTTTCAGACAGACCTGATTGGATGCCCCATGCTAGTCTATGGGCAGCCAGGTATAAACTGACAGTGTGATGCACAGGACTTTAGGTCCATCTAGGCCCAAAAGAAAACAAAAATGAGTTCAGTTTTTTTGGACCTAAACGTGATGGATTGGAGGCAAAGGGATGTAAGGGACGCACACCCGTTTACATCCACCTGCCCATAGACCTAACATGGGTCTTTACAGCTCAGTTTTCCCTACATTACAAGATGGAGGAAAAAACTGAATGGTCAAGGATGTCACAAATGTAACATTTGTTCCGTACAGCTCCAAATCAGCCGGTGATCTGTTAACACACCCCCTACTGATCAGAACTGATTTCGCCCATGTGAAAGAGGTCTGAAGGTATATGTCTTTATTGATAGTATAGCAAGCATTGACACTGAAGCACCCTGTTTGCAGCAGTTACTGCTGACAGCAGCTCTGCTGCACATATTGGTACCATGGATGTCAAACTGATAGCAGGTGTCAGCAACTACAACCATGGTTTTGCACCTGGTGGGTAAGGACTCTAGGAGGTATGAGGAACATCACAGGCCCTTAAAGTTCAGGTGAACCTACATTTATTTTCAGTATGCTTGACATCATGCCTCACTGTTTCTAACCTAGGGATCCTGCAAGTAAAATAATTTCCTATTGCAGGCTGTCAGCCCTAACCCGATGCCTCACATTTAGTAGCATTGTTTCCAGCCTGACATGCATGCTCCTTCAATTGGCCATTAGCCAGCCTATATAGCCTGTGCCAGCCTATGCAGGCACAAGCAGGCCGAGTAAAGAACCATGCAGGACAGTTCTTTTATTGGCAATATCTCTCGGTAAGAAACTTTTTAATAGGTTCATAAAAAAACTTAAGCAAACTGTATTCATTAAACAGATTGTATTGATGTATTCCCTGTTAGACATACTGAACAATAGATTTGGGGTTTTCATACACTTTAACTGGCTAAACTGATCCTATTACTCAAATTCACACTTTACAATATTCAATTACCATATTGTATAACTATTTTGAGTAAAGGCATACTTCCTGCTAGCCATATAAAAAGTGATGTCCCTAAGCTGCCACATAAGACCTGAAACTAGAGAAAAGGTCACAGGGTATATGGCTACTTTCAACATAGTGGGCATTTCATGACATTAGAGACTTTAGAGAGCCTATTGTTTTCAATGTGATACACTGGTAGACTTGCAGTGAGATAAGCCAGTGCAGATAAATCAGTGAGTCACAGCCATTATGGCAAAACAATTCTGTTTTCTCCTAAAAAAGTTATAATGCTGAATACGCCTGCTCTGTGCAGAATAATAGGACTGGATGAATAATAATAGCTCCTTTAATAGCTTTTACAGAGAAAACCTTGTTATTTGTGAGGGTAATCCTTTCTCTGTGTATGCTTCACAATGAAGTTATGATAAGAAATGTTGTAATATTAATCTGTGCACGGTGCAATAGACTGAAATTGTTAATTGCTTATCAGTAGTGTTCCCAGTCTGCAGCAGCCCCCCATAAGGTAATCTGATGTCTCCTGTCATGCTGCATGTTTTGTTTCATTGTGAAGGTAATTAGATGCAACTCGACAGTAATAAACTCATTGCAAACAGCTTTCTGCACGTATGTACATCTGGAGAAACAAAACATGGAAATTATACTAATTAGAGGCCAAGTACTAAGCCGTTCATAGATGTGAGATGATTCTTACCCCATCTTGACACTTTTGTCTCAATCAGACAACATTCTCATGTCTGTGGTAGCAGCAGCCACACAGCGAGCAAACCTTCAAATGGGAAAAGTTTGTTTGTGTGTTCACCCTGCTCAACCTCTTGTGTCCACAGCATACACATTCAGTACATGAACATGGATAATATGGATCTGTACATGTGTTAACAACATGAAAGTTCTCTACACTTTTGATTGTCTCCCGTGGTTTTATGGACATCCGTATGCTGTGGTGGTTTAAAGAGACTGTATTTAGGATTCAGGATGCCTGATTCATTTGCAGTTGACTCCACTCCTTTAAAATAATGGACAGAGGGTGTTATATGCTTTATGAGCACTTCTGCTTAGTGGTGAGTGCTAGGGCTTTGTGGAGTTTAACCTAAGTCATCTATCAGGCTCTAGATTCCTTCTTATTCTCCTTGTGGAGGACCCACCTGGTCAGAGCAGGATCATCCACAGGAAGACTAAGAAGAAGTCTAGAGCCTGGTAGATGTCTAGGACACCCAGCTACAACCTTCCTTTTTTCTGTAGTAAACAAGGTAATAATTGATTTGATAACTAATTAAAGCTGTGCTCATGCCTGTCACTTAACAACGGAGGGTCTGCTGATAGGCAGTTGGTGTCTGATGGAGATGGGGACATGCAAAACAATGCAAATGGTATGTCTTCCCTGTCCCTATCACAGTTCTTATCAATGCCAATTGAAAAGATGAGGTAGGGGTTACACTGCAACCTTGCTTAGGGTCCAATTTAAACTTAATATATCTCTGGTTTGCGTACTGACTCACACCAGGTCCCTGTTTGCAAGGAGCTCCTAAGTTCCCTCTATATTTATGTAGGGATCCTACACTGAGATTCTCTAATGGGATGCTCATGTAGGGCCAAACAGTAATCAGCTGTGGCCAGCCTTAAAATAAATCTGATGCATGTGGAACAAAGTCACAGTCTTATAACGCATATTAAACACAACAGAAATCTGTTATGAAGGGATCAATTGTTAATTTATTGCAATTATCAATCAAATAGATATAACAAAGAAAATAGTACATTTAACAGAGCAAATAAGAGCAAATACGATAAGTTTATTGTTTGCGTTTACATAAAGCTTAACTGTTAAAATTGTTCTGATGCTGGCACAAACTGTTTCAGGGCAGGCAAATATCTTTTACCTGCCATTCTTGGTGGATCTACTTTAAGGTGGCTACACATGTGACAATCATATTGTAACATTCCTGAGTAAACATTGTTGTGACAAAAACCTCAGAACAATTAAAAAGATAATGTTGTTCAGAACAAGCAATGGAATGTCTGTGTTTTGAGCTGTTAAAAAAACAAACATTTTTCTGAAAATAAGTTAATTCTAAAGTTTTATGAGTTCAAGATATAAGCAGGACATGGCTAATACCCATGGTATATCATTTACTCATATTTGATGTGGATCCGTCTTTGATTTGGTGATTTTAATCTATGGCTATTGAGTGATTGTTGACAATCACCTAATTTGTAACACAACACAAGTATCTGGGAGAAATTCAGTAAATGAATGATGAGAGGGAGAGAAGAACAAAGTCTTCATTGTTTTCAAATGTTATGTAAAGGACAGCATCCTTGGCACCCCTTTAAATGATCATGGTCTCTGTTGAGCCTTGCCAGCAATCCGCAAGCCATCACTGAGAGCATGTAGAACAAAGGGATGCCAGATTTATCTTTTTATATATATCTGTATGCAGATGGCTTCATCAAGAGAGAAGTTTAAACTGTCAAGATCTTTAGTGATCTCAGACCAGAAGATAGCTGAAGTAAAGGAAAAGATGAAAGTTTTGACTGAAAAACAGTTTTCCTTGGATATGTTCAATTTGCTATTTGGCCTTTTAAATTTGATTTCACATATTTCGTAACAACAACAACAACAACAACAACAACAACTGATATTGTTCTTTTTTATTTGCAGGACCCAAAGTTACGAGAACAGTTGGAAGTTGGTAGCTTTGGTGGAAGGCTGGAGTATCGCATGTTTACCATAGTCTATGGTCCAGATATGGTCAACATCTCGTATTTAAACTTAGTAGCATATCAAGAAGAAATTGCCAAGGTAAGTTTCAGTTATTTTGTTCTTTTTATGTATAAATTACAAATACCGGATTTTAAATTGTAATACATTGTTGTGCTGCATGGATATTTTCCTCTCTGAAGATTTGCCTCCCCACCCATCACAAACGTACATATTAAACATAGAACCAATCGTTTTCCATTTTGTTTTCTACTTTTTTAAGCAACAGATTCTCTGAGCAAGGGGCTTAATCGAGCCGAAGGCATATGCTTCGGCTCGACTGAGCCGAGGTGAAAGCCGAAGCTGGCAATGGCCGGCCGACAGCCTGCTACTGACTGCTGGGCGGAGCCAGCTGTCATCTCACGGCTGGCTCCGGCCACTTGCACAGACAGATCAGCGTCCCTGGTTACCAGTTAACCAGGGACGCTGATCTCCAGACAGCCGTTGGCTGCCGTCAAAATAAAAAAAAAAACAGCATAGGAATGCATAGCTACATTCCTATTGGCTATTTCAATTTGCAATAGCCAATGGCAAACTGGCTATTGCACCCGCCCACTGCTGCTGTCAATCAGCAGAGGGGACCTGAAGTTCTCCATCAGATCCCCTTTTAGTGATTGACAGCAGCAGAGGGCGGGTGCATTAGCTAGCTTGCTATTGGCTATTGCAAAGTGAAATAGCCAATAGGAATCTAGCTATGTATTCCTATGGTGTTTTTTTTTGTATTATTCTGACGGCTGCAGAACTGCCCGGCCAATAGAGAACAGTTGGGCGGAGCTATCTGTCAATGATAGCTCCGCCCAATCGTTTTCAATTTTAAAAAAAACTTTTTAAAACTATTTTTCTATTCTGCTCGGTATCACAGAGGTACCGAGCAGAATAGCCGAGCCAAATGCCGCTATTGCTCGGCTATTTACTCACTGCTGTTCGGTATCTATGAGAATAGGCCGAACAGCACCGAGTAGCCTGCCGGAGGTTCGGCTTGACCGATCCAGATGTTGGATTGGCTGAGTCGAACTCCTTCTGCACTTCGGGTCGGCCGACCCGAAGCCACACGAAGCCACCCGATGTACGGCTGATTTCAGCCGATACACGACTGAAATTAGCCGTACAAGCCTGAAGTGAATAGCCAAACACCGTTCGGCTCACTTCACTTCGGGTCGGTTATTCACTCGGCTGCCTACGGCAGCTTAGTGAATAGACCACTAAGTCATTAACCAAGAACAAGCAAGCCAGAGAAAAGTGAAAAGTCTCCATTGGCATACTTATGCCAGTTCATTGAAGTATGGAACCAGAGGTACACCATGAAAGCCACGACATTAGCGTTTACTGAAGCAGAAGTCGGAAGTGGTAGCTTGCATAATTTGCTCAGGACAGATGTTAAAAGGGTAGATTTCCAGTTGCTCAAAAGGGTATGTATGGTCAAAAACTAAAACGAAATATGGATTTTGATGTTGAATTTCCACAAGTTCTATCTGACTCCTAAGAACCATATCGATCTAGAAGTTTGTAATCTTACCCATTGAAGATGCTCAGAGGATGTACTTCTCAATACAATGACACCTTTTCACTCAGCCCTGTGAATCTGCACTTCCTTGTGTCACAACTCTCATAGAGCCTGCTTTCTGAACTACAACTCAACGCATGAACAATGAACCATTATCATTGCTTGCTGGAAGCATTGCATGATGGGATATGTAGTCTTGAAAAAAATTGAGATTGCATCACACCAACCAGCAGGGAAAGAGAGGCAAAGCACACTGGGAATCCAGGAAGTTGTTGAATGTGATGGGTAGATGGAAGGCAGCAATCACTATATAAAAGGAATTGTTTTCAAGTAAGCTTTGATTGCATTATCAAACACAACTCTAGTATGTATTCCAAGTACAATGCCAATGTTCTATCGAAAGTCCAAACTTGTCGACCTCTCCAACTGGTGACATCATATCCAGGGACTGCCAAGAGATCTACACCAGATAGTGCTAGTGTGCATGCCCAGGAAATCCTTGTCGAACTGTCTAACTATTGCCACACCGCCTACGTGGCTATCCACTTCTATAACCTACTACAGTTATATTTGTCCTAGGTGATAGAAGCCGATAGCCGTGCAGGGGCAATGGCTATTGTCTCATCGGATTCCATAACCTAGCCAAAGGTTATATTATGTTACAGCGCCTGCGCGGCCACATGATTCTTTCTACAACCACAGTTGCCACTGCGCCTGCGCGGCTATAGGCTTCTATAACCTAGGACAAATATAAGGTAGTCCTAGGTTATAGAATCCTATGAGCCGCTAGCCGCGCAGGCGCAGTGGCAACAGTTAGACATTTCGACAAGGATTTTCTGCCCATGCACACTAGCTCCATCCACTGTACATCTCCTACTGGCAATCACAATCTCTTGTGCTTACGTTGACTGATTTATTAATCAAGTTATAATCCTGACTGACTTTGTCTGACATTTGCGTCTTTCTTGATGGTGTTTTCCCCACGGTGACATGCAAATTTACAGTAATTAAGTCTGTCAAGGAATGACAGCCCTGTGGGGATTTGTAGTACATGTTTATGTACTGCAAGCCAGAAGTTCATTACAGTGTTTATATTATATTTTGTGTATAAAACGCTTACATATACAATATTTGCCTCGCTCGTGTTTGTAAGGTAATACAAGATTTTGTTCAGAAATATTTCTGTCCAGTTTATTTGTATTCTTATCTTACTGGAACATTGACACAAATAGCTTCTTGGCAGAATAGATAATATAAGAAAGGGTTCCATATCTTTGGGGGAAAATGAATCCCCTAAACCATTATTTGGCTGACTGAGCATGTCATAATTGCAAGCTTTCAAGACTCTTACTGTGTAAAAAAAAAAAAAAAAAATTCTCAAAAGCTTGCAATTTTCCTCAGCCAGTTACATGCATTTTTCGAAGAAACCTGTACTGAGAATATACAGTATGTAGGCATCTATGAAAAGGTTCTACTTACCTTATTCTGCACTTAAACCTTCATCTTATCTTTTAATTATCTTGTTTGCTATTTTGAAAGCCAGTATAAAGTAAAAATTGGTACTGGGAAAAAAAAATAAATCCGGGTTTTAATGTTCACCTTTCTGACCATGGTTCATGTTTCACTCCATATTTAGGGCGTAACATGAAACATGGTCAGATTGCAACCACACCCCACTTACCTGAATTGCAGGGTTATTCTCCCTGCCGGCCGCTGTTTGTTTTTGAAAATTGACTTCACTGTTTTTGAAAATTGCATGGCTGTATGTGGCTCCGCCCACACAGCCCCGTCATCCATCCACAGGATGGAGGAACTCCAAGTCCCGTCTGCCTGTGTGGCAGAGGGGCTTGTAGTTTCAAAGGAATACAAGTGTGGTAATGCCACTGCACTTATGGTCCATTAACTCTGCCTCCCATCAATGTTACTGCATGTCCATGCCTCAGTTTGGGTATGGACGGGAGGAACTGTCTCCAGGAGGCAGAGCATTGCACCTGTGATCTACTGATCGCGCCTGCAATGCTTTACTGGCTTCTATGTAAAGAAAATAATAAATGCAATTTTTTTTCTTTTATGAAGAAGTGTGCATTTATGATTTTTTTTTTTTAAAGTGAACTTTCCTTTTAATTAATTATTTGTGACATATAAATTCATAATTTAACCCTAACTATAGTTACAAAGTTAATGAGGTTGAAAAAAGACACGTTTCCATCTAGTCCAACCCTTAGAGATAATAGATAACAGGGACGTAGCAGAGTTATATCCATTTCTTAAATACTTTGTGCACGAAGGTGTTCCTCTTTGTGCTCTTAGAAGGTCTTAGGAGGTATGCCTAAATGTCAGGTAACTGAATTATGTTACAAAAGACCTCTCTCTGTTGAACGCCTGCCACATTCAAGCTGCTGAGTAAGTTCTGAATTCAGAGAAACTGTTAAGACAGGCCTCTTGCAGCAAAAGTCCTGCAATGTGTGATGTCAGGGCAAGGATCTCTCCTCCTATCTGTAAAGAGTTTGCATGTTCTCCCTGTGCTTGCGTGGGTTTCCTCCGGGTACTCTGGTTTCCTCCCGCACTCCAAAGACATGCTGGTAGGTTGATTGGATCCTGTCTAAATTGGCCCTTGTATGTACAGTATGCATGTGAGATAGGGACCTTAGATTGTAAGCTCCTTGAGGGCAGGGACTGATGTGAATGTGCAACTATGTAAAGTGATGCGTAAATTGTCGGCGCTATATAAATACCTGTAATAAATAAATAAATCTCTATGAGCATTGCTTATAGAGGCCAGGAATCACAAAATTAAACAGGCGTGTTTATCCGCTGTCTGGTACAGTAAACAAGGCCGATTAGAGGGCAGATTTGCATTCATCTGAAATGCGGTCTTGTTTACAAAATTGCAATGTGGTCATTGAATTTACTAGCACCATTCTTTCTGCATTTCTCATCTTCATTTACAAGTATTGCTTAATTTCTATGTAAAGGTTAACAAAACACAACATTTGGTACTGTAGTATATGGTGAACCTCTGACTTGGCTTATCATTAGGCATGGCTGAGCAGAGAGATCTATAAGTACAGATTCTAGCACTGCGCACTATTATCTCACCAGCCTTCAATATGTCATCCTGTTGAACCTCAGGTTCGCTTGTATGACATATAACGTCAAAGGTGATTAGGATCAGTGTCTGATATTACAAGGTAGAATTCTAGATACTCAGCAACTTGTAGGGAGAATGTTGAATAGACAGAACTGTCTCTGATGCTCAACTCGTCCGCCTCTTATTTATCGGGACAATTAATAAATGTATTGTGAAATAATACTCAGCATTCTTTCAAGCAGCAGCTGCACATAAGCAAATGTTTTCACTTCTGTGTGTAAAAATATTAAATCTGCAGTCATGTTCTAATTATAAACATGGGATTTATTTAGGGCTAGAGGGCAATAATAGAAGATTATAACAATTCCAGCTTCAAGGTATCGTGAAAGATTTATTACTTCTAGAATGGACTCTTGGCAGTGCGAATACAGTGGCTTATTGGGTTTG